CATGGCCGGGAATCCAACCAATGCTTGGGCCATTGCAAGACTTCTTGAACGGGACGTCGGCTCTAATTCAGCCGTCAACTTTCTCCACACTTCAAATCCATTCATCCCGCTTACACTTCTCAACACTTTCAGAGGTCTGTTCTTCAAGTAACTGCTCAACACTGAGTAGAGCTTCGTTCCTCTGTTCATCCTTGCTTGATCACTGTCAAAGAATGTGTTTGTCAATACCGATGCTATCGGAGTCTTCTTTTGTTCTGCTGTCTTCAGGTCCTTCAGGAATTCTTGATCCATAAACGCTAAGAAGTTCTTGAACGTAAATGACCAGTCACTCCATTGTGACACTTCTTCTTCAATCGTAGCAGGGTTGAACGCTTCTGGTGGCTTGAGGATCTTGCCTCCAGTCTCGAAACTTACTGAGGCAGGTTGGCCGCTTGAAGGGGCCGCTGCAGCCTTTGGTGATGCTTGAGCTCTCACCAGTGCATCCATTGCTGTTACCAATTGTTGTTGCTGAACTGCTGTTCCTTGTGCAACTCTTGACATAGCTTCTGTGGCTTGTCCTAAATTCTGCATCAGCACTTCCAACCTCGCCGTCTGAGGGTTAGGTTGCTGCGGTGGCTGCTGAGCTTGCTGTTGCTCCATTTCTTCAACACTCTGGCAGGTCCTTGTGTAACTGGCTCAAGGTCTTTCACTTTCACGCTTTCCTTTCACTTGCAAGGTGCTCTTGGTAAACCGTAACTCCTCGCTTTCTCCGGCAGGATGCTCTTGGTAAACCGTAACTTCCTGCTCACACTTTTCGCCTTTTCCAGCTCTTGGCTGGCTTCCCTGGATCTTTGCTTGATCAGCTGCTGGCCTTTGCCAACAGCTCCGCTACCATGAAAGTTTAAACCCTTACACCAATACACTTCCTATAACCACGGCGCGAGCTTGGATTCTTTTCCTCTACCGAGCTCTGCTGTCAGGCTGTCTTGAGCCTACGTTTGACCTTCGGAGACTACGCAGTGAAACGCGCTAAATTGGGCATGAGGGAAAATTGAACTGTCTGTTATGACAGTAGCTTCACTGTGCTCGCTACACCGGTTGGTGAAAACAAACTTGCGATATCTGTATCACCTAACCACTTGAATTCTCTTGCTACCAGTCGTCCTCGCCTTCTCCATTCTTTGTCTCTGTGTCTCCAGTCGTACACTATCTTTGTTGACAAAAACTTATACTTTGAGGTATCCGTTCCTTTTGGCAATTTGTTCAGCACTTTCATCTTCTCGAGTCTCTCCAATTCGTGCTTCTTGGACACACTCTCGACCTTTTCCATTTCATCATCTTCCAGTTTTGGTGGTCCGTTTTCAAAATCATTTGACCATTTTGGCATGTCTTCTGGTACCTCTTCTTCTCCATCTGATTCTTGCCATTCTTCTTCTTCATCAAACTCAGCTTCCATCTCTTCAAATTCTTCTAACTCGACTTCTTCATCATCGTGAAACTGAGGGAGTTCTTTTCTTTGAAATGGTTCTATCTTCTTCACACTTCTCATGTCGATCACTCTTCTCACTGAACTTGATGCATCTCCGACGGCAATAAACTTATCTGGTCTCTCTTCTGCTTCTGTCGGTCCTTCATCCATTCGTTGTCTCACCGCTTCTGGCTGCTCGCCTTTTTCAAGGTTCCTCTTTGGCGATGCTGGCGGTGGATTCTCTCCTGAAATCAGTTCATCCGATTCATCGCTTCTTTCACTTCTTCTTCTTGTGACTCCTTTTCCTCGACTGCTTGAACTGCTGCTTGATGATCCAACATGTCCTTCACCTGGATCTTCTTCCATCTCTTGTTCAGTCTCACTTGGCGGATCTGATGCCGCTACTTGGCTTGGACTGTAGTCCTTCAACTCATCTTCTTGTTCCTGGCTTCTTTCTTTCCTTTGAACGAATTCTGGCTTGTCACCAATGCTTGCTATCTCGATTCCACTGTGTGGTGGCAATCTCTTCGTGGATTTCCTTCCTATCAACATATCTTGTGTGTAGTTCCACGGTGTTCCTGTGGCTTCTGCTAGCACTTCAACATCATACAGTGGCGTGCACTGTCTTATCGTTCTGCTCTTGATGATTCGTTGTCTTGTGCTAATCAGGTTCAGGTTGTTCACCGAATCCTTTCCAACGAAGATTCCTTTTCTCCATGCTTCTCCTTTCTCCTTGACTTTTGGTACTGGCTTTGCCAACACAACGCTTCCCCATGGTGCTAATGTTCCTTTGTACTCTCTGTCGAATAAACTTCAAATGGCGTTGATCCTTTCTTCACAACAAACCTATTCAGCAGGAATGCTGCATGTCTTGCTGCCCATGGATACAGCGTGCTTTCTGAAGTAATCTTCACTTTTGCTTGTGACTCAACTCCGTACACCAGTGTCTTGGATAAGTTCCGAACTGTTTGAACCCATCTTTCAACTTGCAATCCTTGGTGTTCATCTGGTGCTACATCCTGTGTGAAAAGCGGAGGATTCCACTCAACTCTCGGTCACAAAGCCCAAGGCAACCAATCGTAGATAGAGCAAAGCAAGCGGTGCAAAGCAAGGACGATCGGAGATGAAAACCGTAAGTTTGACGCTCAGCGGAAAGACAGCACTAGAACCCCCAGGCGCTAGCGGATCTTTTGCTGGGACTCGCGCACGCGGTCCTTGAGCAGTCAAGCTGCGTAAGTGAGACAAAGTTGGCAAGAATCCTAACCAGGACACAGAAGCACATGTACGCATGTACGTGACAAATCAAACCCCCTCGATGCCAGCTCACGCGTGAGAAGAGCGGAGTTGAGGAAAGTCACGCACACTGATTGTGCACCGAGCCACACCTCTTCCGGTCAGCAAAGCTTTAGGCATTTAAGAACCATTAGATGTGGGTCGGTCTCTGCATCTGGATCGTGCTTGTTTCACTACTGTACATACGCAGCCTTGTTGTGATCGTCAGGCGCATAGCGAACTGCCGTGTAATCGGTGGCAGTCGGATGTTCCATCGGATCTAAGCGGGGGTAACACACTAGACTCAACGCGCTCAGAGTGTAGACTCGGCAGCATCGAGTGTCCGTGAAAAGAGAGGGACACACGAGGAAAATACCATGGCTAGCCATTGTACCCCTGTGGGTCTTCTCAGCACGGCACAGGCAAGGAATGCTGAGGCAGTAGCGGAAATTGTATCATAGTCGGGTTTCACCATCAGAATCCATCTGACCCCCAGAGACATTTGCTTAATGGGTCAGAGAGACTCAACCGGATTCACCCTACAGTGACACAATGCGTCGCTACGCATCTTGGACGGTCGTCATCTACGAGTTGTAGGGCTACGGGTACGGTCCTTGTTGGATCGGCTAGGACCGCCCTTTCCTTTCTGACCTTTATCGCCTTTTCCTTTGCCTTTCTCCTGCTTCCCTTTTCCTTTATCGGCCTTTCCTTTACCTTTGCCCTTTGTTGTCGGTTGCCTCACTGCATCAGGTTCATCGATGAGGCCACTGACTTCAGAGCCGGATCGGGACTTGCCCTTAGCTGTCGTCTCCTTGGCCGGACCCATGGTGCGGGACCGTGGCTCAGCAGACGCAGTGTCGGAAGCATCGGGAGACGGTGCCACAGCTTCGGTATCAGCTGTACGCTTTTGAGTACGGCCACGTGCCTCTGCACTCGTGATCAAACGAGCCGGTGCGGGACGCGTGATAGAAGGCGTCCACTTCTCGCTGCGGGGAGCCTTTTCAGGAGGATTCGACGCCGTTCTGATCGATGGCGTAGGAAATTAAAAGTGGGATTGATTCGCTCCTGAGTGGTGGCCGATGTGCCGCCTGGCGAGGGAGCTCGCCCTGCAGTCGCTTCTGTCGCGTGCGATACGCTCACATTGGCCGCTTTCATATTAGCATCGTCGTCAGGGCTAGCACCCATCGAGATGATGATGTTGGCGGCTCTCTTCCTAACGACAGGAAGCGTGCCCGGCGCGTGGTACATGCGAATAAGATCCTCAATCGTCGGGTTACCCATATCCTCTTCAGGAACTCCTGTCTTCATTCGCAATACCGAGGGCAGCCCCATCTTATCGGAATACCTGCAGACCTGTCCTTTGTTGGAATTTGTCCTTTTGTTAAAATTTGCTCTAAGTGCAAATTTCAAAAACAACTTTGTTTTGTACTTTTGGAATTTGTCCTTTGGATTTAAAATTTGTCCTTTGGATTCACAATTTGTACTTTGGAGAAGGATATTGGAATTCGCGTGCTAAACTGCTGGTGAGCAGCCCGCTTTGGTGAAATTGGCATGCTTTGAGAAGCGTGCTTCGTGTTGTATTGCCTGCTTCCTGCTTCGGAGACGAGGGCAGCGAGGAATAATATGCGGTAAACGTCCATGTTTCCAGCGCAGTCCAGTCGGGGGGTTGTGGGTATACGCTACTCTCAATTTGAAATTCGCTCAGATATGTTTCTGATGCCAGAACCATAGCTGAACGAATTGTGGAATTAAGGATCTATCTATATATCTGTGTATACATATATATATATATATGTACCTATACACACCCGATTATTCTAAGAACACTTAATGCAGTAGATAGGCAATATCTACTGACGGTTTAGCTGAGAATCCAGATCAGCTGCATCGATCTAGTGACAGCTTAACGAGGAGCGCAGCGGCTTGGCAAGCTTTATAAATGTTCTATAGGAACCTGAAATAGTTTGTATAGTAAATACTGCTTGGATTAGGATCTCCACGCCGGAGTGTGCTGGCTGTGACGGGCTGTGAAGCAATCAGTGCGTTGGAGGTCTAGCTTAGGGCGTACGGGGTGACACTGTGATTTCGGGAGTATCGTCTGTGAACAAATTTTGGGGCTTCGCTTGGGTTGGATGTCTGCGTATACTTGCATCGCCGTGCCCCAAAGCAACACGGCTCATGCGTAGCAAGAAGAAAGGGCACTCCATGCAATATGTGCATATGAAATGTAAGCTGCAGAGCTTTATGTTGGTGTTTGCTTCAACACGGGATTGTCTGGACGATGGCGGCCGAAGCAGGGGACACAAGCTATTCCGAGTTGCAAAAGTTCAAGAAGTCCAGTGAGCCGGGCTCTGTTCTGGAGTGTTGGAAGGGATTGGCTGCAGATCTTGCGCCACGCTTGCAGGAAATCGCGAGAAGGTTGTGCATCATATGTGTTCGAGTGACCCAGATTTAGACTTGGGGTCAAACTTTGGGTAGCTCAGGCTCAGTTCGTGATTGCCCCTGATCTGGCAGCAGTCGAATCAGCTCAAGCACAGCTACGCAACGAGTTGCTTCAATCCAATCGTGACGTGGTTCTGGCGCAGCTTGCTATGGTTCTAACTAGTTCTGGCCCTTTTCTTGCCCCTGTACAAGGTGTGATGAGAAGTAAGTTTAGCCGAACATGTGCTGAGGACATTGACTGCGTTTACACAACTGAACAAAGTCTTAACGGTTGACCAGCTCCATCACTGCATCGTGACGAAGTACACACTGAAGGTGCTTAGGCTGGCATCCTTCCTTTTTTTGCATGTAACGGTTCTTGTTGAAACACATTCGTATTATATGCTTGGGCCGCTCAGGGCAACATCGAACAGGAAAAGTTCGCTCACAGCCAAGCGTGTGCCTTGAAGTCGCTAGTTTCTCGGCCATGTATTGCTCAGCAATGTTTGCAGTGTCGCAGTTTTAGGATGTAGCCCGACGCCTGAGGCACAGCATGTTATTCGCGAAACGAAAAAGACGAGCGGAGCCCGCTTGAAATGGATGAAGGAGCTCAAGGCCTGGCCTCAATAAGACCTAGTCACATCTGTGTTGTTCTGCAAAATCGATCATCAAGCGATGCATGACAGGATGCGGTCGGACCTTCCTTGCTGGAGAAGAAGTTTGAGCGCAAGAAGAATAAAAAAGACTCCTCAGAAACAGCATCGCCCGCGAAGCCGTCGGAAGGACCGTCATACATACTGTAGTGGTTCTGAGCTTATTGCATAGACCCCTTGGGAGGAGCGATCCCAAGAGTTCCCTCGCCTTCGGCTTCTACTTTATCAGCGGTAATTGGAACCATAGCTGCAAACCCTCCGTCGTTGGACCCAGCTGATCAGTACAAGGCCAGAATGCGACTGAGAATGAAAACCAATGTCGCAGACAAATCCGAAGCAGCAGGACCATTTCTAATCGCACGGCGATGCGATCGCACCGTAGAAAATTTTCTGTACACACTCACACACCCACACTCTCACACACGCGACCGCGACGCAGGACCCCCTGCTGCCGCTGCTGCAACTGGTGCTGCCGAAGAGGTCTGGGTGTAGGGCCTATTATTTCAAGTTCGTTTGCGATAGGACGATAGGGGAGTTGGTGCGCAGCATGATTCAACTTGTAGATTTGGGATTTGCTAGTGGTCTGTTGGATGCATTTTGAACTGAACGTTCGTGGTTCGACTCGCTCGCCTGCCTTAGCACTACGACTAGCACCCCAATTCTCAAAATCTGGCCTCGTAGTTTGTCGGTCCAGACAACCGGCTGCTGTGATTTCGGACTGGCATTGAGGTCAAATCCGGGGGATGATCCTATACTTTAATCTAAGCCTAAACCCTAAATTAGCAACTTCTACAACACATCTTGTGTGTCGGTCTTGTATATAGAAGCAATTAATTGCTGACTTTAGTAACCCTATATTAAAGATGTAATGTCAGGAATTTAGGCATGTTCTACGCAAATCTAAGCCCAAATTCCTGAACCTTGAGAACCCTAAGCGTAACCCTTAGCCCAAACCCTGAACCCTAAGCCTAACCCCAAGCCTAAACCCGCAATCCCAGATCTGCAAAGCCTATACTAAAGGATGGTTATCAGTATTTCGCAGGAGTTGCCCGACAAAGCTGGGTGTGCCGGCAGCGTGGCTTTTGAAATCATCGTGTGTCGAGTGCAGCGCTTATTGTCCTAGCTGTCCTAGCTATCTCAGGCGCTTCTCTGAAGATGTGGCCAACAGATGACAATGTCGACATGAAAGAACCAAGTCTGAAATAAATAACTATTTGTATGCTCACGTTCCAACAATTGCTATGCATAGTGTTCTGTGCAAGGACTACCATGGACATTCCGTCGTCGGTGCAGACGGCTTGCTCACTTCGGCTCCTGGGCACCCGAGCGGCTCAGAATGATCTTATGTTTCGGTTTCTTTTCGATAGGCTCGAATGACTTGCTGCTCCGCTCAACTGCGTCTGGTTGACTTGTTCATGAACCCCGGCCTTATCCTCTGCCTGTGATCACAGCGGCCCGCTGCAGATGCTTCGCCAGCCGCTCCTGCAAGCTCTGATGAAGCTTCTTGAATCAACAACCGAAGTCGTGCAGTAAGCGTTAAGAAAAGCCGTGGTCTGTTCAAGCTCTTCAGGTTGCTTTGGGAGATGAAGAAAACGGCAACGACCAGGCCGACCAGGGTGAGGAGTGTGACGACCAGGAAGAGGACGAGGGCGAGCCGGCTGCGGAGTGTGACGACCAGGAAGAGGACGAGGGCGAGCCAGGGGAGGAGGAGGAAGCCCACGAGGCTATTCGTTGGGGTTGGGAGGGTTATAGCCTGTTTCGGACATGTTGTTTGCCTCCACCAACTAGCTGTTTTGTCCTGGGCCCTGGGCCTGTAGGGGGAGAGTGCTGAATTCTGCATGACATAATGGTTCAAGCACTTTTATACCTCTTCAACCGAGGACAAGAAGAAGCGCCCGAGAAGCAATGGAGCTGGCCCGCTGTGGAGTGCCATGCAACACTTTATCAAGACCGATTCCTTGTGATGCACTTGAATCGAGCTATCTTTAGGGTTTGTAGTTGCTCATCGGTGTTGCCTGCAGGACAGCTCGTGAGGAGCACAACCTGAGCTACATGGCATCTGGGATGGCATGCTTCGTTCTGTGATTTTACTGTGATATTTTACTGCATTGTTCGAAGCCTGAATGACGATATATTGTCGCTACTCAGGACAGTGTACGGCTCTGGAAGCTGTCTGCGATCAGAGCGCTGCTAAGTCTCAAACTGTTGGATAAACCGCAGAGCCTCCAAAACCCCTTAATTAAGGAATATACCTTAAATCATATTAGGGCCCCTATTATAAGGTATATTCCTTAATTAGGGGGTTTTGGAGGCTCTGGGAACGGTCATCCTAATGCGCCGCAAACAAGACTGGGGTGCTACTGTATCTCCCGCCACACCCGAGGGTTCTCGTCATGGACATTCCCGACAAGAAGCGGCGACGACTATGAGTTCGGGGTTGCTGCTGCAGCCGAACCTTTTGAAGTTTGCTTCGCAAGCGGCTTGTGATGGGTTGCAGTGTACTGATACAAGCTTCACACAACTCGGGTACTGGTGTGCATTCTCCGAAATTCATATGCTCGTCCTTGGTCGCTTGCTTAATTAGTAATTTCATAACCGGTAGGAGCCAGCCCAAACGTGTGAGCACGGCTAGCTCCTTTACACCCTAAAGCAAAGCCATGGATTCCGCGATCGAAAGGTTTGGGTCTCGTGATCACTTCCGTGCACTAGTATTGGGCTAGGGCTACATGGTTGCTTTTGTCGAAGCATACACATATATGCGCTGGGTTCGCAATCACAACTGGCCTTTCCGCTGACCTTTAGAATGTAGAAAGTTGGTACTGGTTTCATAAAGTAGGTCTTTGTTACCAGTCTTTACGGAAAGGCCATGTGTTGTAGTGGGCCAAGTTTGCTCGTGAAGCCGTGGGCAAGCCTATAGCTTACCCGCACCGATGTCATCACGGCGGGGCGATCAAAGAAAGTGTATACCACATCCGACATCAAGTGGTTGCCATGATGCAGACATACCCTGTGCCGTTCAGAGTTCCCCATCATATACAGAGCCACTTCATTACACGTGCAAGACACAATCAGAGACTGGACAATGCCTGTCAATATGAGGGTTTGCAAAGGAAGACGTACCGCCCTTAGTTGTTCTGGGATAGCATGTGGGGTCGAAAGGAAGACGTACCGCCGTTAGTTATTCTGGGCAAGCATGTCGGGTCCTTATCCTCGAGTCCGTCAGCTTCTGGATGCAGGTTTGCCACCAGCCTGAGATTGGTGCCGTGGGTTTGTGTCTTCGTGTTTCTGAGCGGTTGAAGGATTGTGGCTCAGGGCTTAGGGTTTGGTCTTTACAGCTACAAGTGTTTTTTTCAGGCAATCCGGCTTAACGGTTTAGGCTTCAGGGCTTGACCTTCAAGTTAAGCGCCGAGTGAGGGGTTATTTCTTGGGACCGGGTTTGAGGTGTATCAGGAAGCTTATCCCACTAGGTTTTTGCGCTACTCGCGACAATCGCAATCTCCTCACATAGTGTGCGCCCGAAAGTCTATCCCAAAATCCCCTAGTCATGTTTCGTACTCCGCAAACCCGGAATAACCCAATAAGTAAACCCCAAACCTTATACAACCCTTAGGCCCAAACCCGAAGCCTAAACCCTGAACCCCAAAACTTGAAACCTTTAGGCCTAAACCCCAAAAGCCCAAATTGGCTCCGCTGCTCGGCCCTTAAGACCGACTGGTGTGCTGATATCGGGTCAGTCATGTTTGTATGTTGCTGTTCTGTTATAGAAGTGTTGCCTGTCACTCGACATACATGCATACACATGTCTGCAAATCCAAAAAGACGCGGATCTGCCAATATCGTGCAAGCCTCACAGCTACCACGTCCTTTAAAGGGCCTGAAGTATTCCACAACTTCCACGAAACAGCTGAGAGAGCAATGCTTGATTATTAATATGAGAAGCCTGGTTTGACTCTCGACAGGAAGCCTTGGATTTGTTCAGAGCCGAGGCCACGAACACTGGTTGTCATATTGATGATGATGTGCTTCATGGAGTTAGACGCTTGGCAAACACCGTTGTCGCCCATCATAGTGTGTATTGAGTTTGGAACCCGAGTACATACGCACTAATGCAAACTCCAGCAAACCAAATTTTGAAATCTCATATATGAATCTTGAGTGCTCTAGCTCAAACCCTAAACAACACCAAGTACGCTCGATCCGAAGACCTCGATGTCCTGGAATTCTTTGCGGGTGAGGCTGCCGCTTGAACGACATGGCAAGTCTGATGGGATTCAGCTGAAACAAATATGCGTCTTGTTTCCTGCCACCCCAAATATAAGGCGATCAGCAAGTTGGCTTTCGATCGAGGCTTCAGTGTTCGATCGATGGATGTGAAGTATTCCGTAACGAACGATCTCACGTCGCACTGTGGCATGTTGCTTCTCGGATTCTTTTGCGAAGCCACAAGCCCAACATGTGTTCGGAAATCCCCAAACCAAATATGAACGCAAGGCTCGCATTGTCGTACATCCGGCGCTTGCGCCGTGGCGGGCTGATGGTGCTCGCACCAGTCTGTGCCTGGGCTGCTGGGAAGGGAGGAACTTCAGCGCTGCTGCTGCGAAATGAAATAAGAATTAATTCTATTACTAAATTATTGCTACTATTGCTACTATGACTACTACCAACCGCTACCACTTCCATTACCACTGCCACTACCACGACCGCTGCCACGACCACTCCCGCTACCGCTACTGCTGCTGCTGCGACTGCTACTGCTACTCTTGCTACAACTACTGCTCCTGCTACTATACTACTACTACTACTACTACTACTACTACTACTACTACTACTACTACTACTACTACTACTACTACTACTACTACTGCTACTGCTACTGCTACTGCTACTGCTACTGCTACTGCTACTGCTACTGCTACTGCTACTGCTACTGCTACTGCTACTACTACTACTACTACTACTACAAGCCTGGAAGGAAGGACACAAAACAGCACTCTGATCACCTTTAATCGAATACACACCTCAACGTGCTGAGTGTCCTTTCAACCGGCTCCTACTATACTAGTACTAGTACTACTACTACTACTACTACTACTACTACTACTACTACTACTACTACTACTACTACTACGATCGACTGCTACTACTACTACTACTACTACTACTACTACTGCTAATACTACTATTTCTACTTCTCCTGCTACTACTACTACTACTAGTACTACTACTACTACTACTGCTACTACTGCTACTACGTACTACGAGTGCTACTGTACCACTATAGTACTACCTGCCGCCGCTGCTGCTGCTGCTGCAACAACAACAACACCCACAACAACAACAACTGCACCAGCAACACCACCACCGCCAACGCCACCAACATCAACACCAACACGACTACTACTGCGCTGGTGCTACTAGTACTCCTAGTCCTCCCGAATCCTACTCCCACTGCTGCTGCTATTGCCAGTACAAAATGCTACTGTGGTTTTCGGTTTTGGTGCCTACTGAGTTTTCGGCTCTGACGGGAAGTTCCATAGAATAGCTTGGGAAGCTTTACAGGAACCTTCATCGATTTCGGACTCGGTGGGCAGGGGTTCAAGTATGTTTGGGTCGACTGTCAATGAGGAATTCGAAACACAGGGTTTGGAGATTGGGCTTTGGGTTGAAGAGGAAAAAGGGCGGACCTTTGAAGTGTGGTAGGGTTTGGGGCTTGGGGTTTAAGGTTCCTGATTTGAGGCCTTAATATATGCCTGGTTTTCAGGGTGTAAGGTTTGGGTTTCAGAGGTTTAGGGTTTATGCTTGGAGGCTTTGGGATTAAACTGATCAGCCTTCATCCTGTTTCCAGAGTTTATGATGGTGGGGCGGTTCGGGAAAAGGTTCTACTTAAGAACCTTTTCCCGAACCGCCACACCATCATAAATCAGCCCTTATAAGAAGCACGAACAGTAGTGCAGCAGTGACGCCGTAGTATGCCCAAACCGATCCTTCTAGTTATCACACCTCAATCCGAAAGCCTAGGAAACCTGAGTTTGAAAAACAGACCGAAGCTCACAGAGGGTGATATCGGAACCTTATATAGAGCCTCTACAGTGACACTTTTGGGAGTATACCTGAATGCTTAGAGGTAAAGCCGACGCCTAAAAAAGTTTATCATCAGCTTCCTTCTGTCGATGGACACATCACCAGCGTGACCGTGTGTCTGTGGATATATGCTTTGTTGTTCTGGGTCCTGGGTTTATACGCTGTGGAGTTCTGGGTTTTGGGTTTAGGCTGGGCAATCGATCGGTTAAGCAAGGGCGACTTACTCTTCCAGTTCAATCATACGTGGCTAGACTCCGGGTGGTATGCTAGGGGGTCTTGGGTTATCTGGTATATTGAGGAACATATTTCTTTAGTGGCATGCCCAGATCCACCAATCTTGGCGCACTCCGTTGCATGCCCAGATCCACCAATCATGCAGCAGCCGCCACTGCTGCTGTAGCCTCCGAGGAGAGTCGAGTCGTTATTATCACCACGGTACTGAGATGGTGGGCGAGATGTCGAGGCTTGCATAGGAATGCGGGGTGCCACAATCTGTCCGAAGGTGACGAGTGACCGAATGCGATCCCGGGCTTTAAATCTTGTAAGAGCGCGGTAGGCACACTGAGGCCGGAGCCCCTGAAGGAAAACACTCACATCCAAACCCTGAAGCCCTAGACCCCATCCCTTCGAATCCTAACCCCGAACGAGCCCAAACCCTCAGCCGAACCAAGCGACCTGTATTGTGACCGTCGCGGCTTGCAGTAAACCACATGTATAGCCTTGGCCGCACGCAAGTCATTGCGAGACTTCGAGGAAATTCGCTGTAGACCGTTCGAAGTGTTACCTGGTAAGTCTTGTTGCTTGGGCCAAAACATCGATTTGGGAACTCTTGCGAGTCAGAGTGACTAGGCCGAAATCTAGCGGTTCCTAGGAAGGCCCCCTA